TCTTCTCTTCTCTTCTCTTCTCTTCTCTTCTCTTCTCTTCTCTTCTCCTCCTGTGGGCTGTGTGCTTTGACTCCAAAAATACAGCCCGACCTCTCATGAGACCCTTCCCATTTCGCTTCGCTCCGTTTCCCACGCGCTTTCCCACGCGCGGTTTCGACGCCACCCGCGGCCGAGGGGCACTGGAACTGCGGCATCTCCGGTGGCCCGGAGGGCGCCGCCGCCCAGCAGTCCAGCGGCGCCCACAGGGTCCGTGCGCCGTGGCGGTGGATCACCTGGGAAGACGCCACAAACGGCGACGGGACGGACGGACGGGGTGAGAGGCGGTTGACTGCTGCCTTTGGAACGGGTCAAGGTACCAGGTCAAAGTGGTGGGGAAGTGTGTGAAGTGGGAATTCTGGTTGGACTTTCTTCAGTTTTTCGTCTCAGCACGCGCGCTGTCGGAGGGTTCTTGGAACACGATCCGCAAGAAAGGTAGGCTGAAGAAGCGGTTCTGGTCGTCTATAAGAGGCCATCTGTGCAAAGAAAAAACACTCAGCTTTTCTTGAACAGGGTTGGTTGCTCTTAGCATCATGACAAAACACCCAGAAAAGCGCATTCCAGCAACGACAGGGTGGGGTCCAAACAAATCAACCCATCGAAACCCTCATGTCAGGTTTGAGGGTTTGAGGAATTGTTTTTTGGGGCGTTGCACAGCGCGAAAAGCCCTTCATTCATCCTGCCTGCACTTGCACCAGCTCGCATCCCTCGCAGCCACTCTGTGGCTCTGCGACCTGATTCCGAAGCCACTGGGTAGTAGTGGGCTGGTGGGTCCCAAAATGATGCTTCTGACGACTGGTCGTGGTGCACGTCGATGGAAAAAGATTGAAGAAACATCAAAACGCCCATTCAGGTGTCTTTTCATCTTACGTCAGCTAAGCCCAGGGCCCTTGGTGTTCCGCCGGTGCGTCCAGTCTGCCCGTCCACGTCGTCCCCGTCCCACACTGGTGCGGCCAGACACCCAAGGTCCGTGACCACAATAGCCTCGAAAAGCGGCCGGCTCGAAGCCAAAGCCGCCTGGCATCTGGAGCAGAGCAGAGCACAGCCGACATGAGAGCACGGACGATTGGCCAGACTGAGTGACTGAGTCTATATGGAAATAGATATTGGAGTACCTGGAACTCACCCAAATCCCTTCCAAACGTCTTCCAAAACCGGCGCCGGAGTTGTTCTCTTGGATCCGCTCACCGGACGCGACCGACGCACCGCTTCCTGCTTGGTCGGCTCCGTTCGTCTTCGATCCAATGCCCTCCCATCCACCGCGGTGGCGGTCCGGGGCTGTGGGTTTCCGCGGCGAAGCGGGAGAAAGCGGAGGGGACCGCGGGGTTCATCACCTACAGTGGTTTCAGGTAGATGGCACGCACAGAATGTCCAAGTTCGGTGGTTTAGATGGACCCCCCATCTGTCTATAAGCGTGTGGGGGGGTGCCAGTTACCCTGAAAACCATTGAAAAAATATGTCCCATCCACTTGATACTCCCAACGAAATCCACCACGCCTGGGAGGCTTGCAAGGGTCAGGAGTGGAATGCATCTCATCCCGCCATGGCCCGTCTCAGCTCGCTCTTCGCTGCCGCGGCGTGAAGGCAGGTTTTGGGGGTGGAAAGTTCGAAGGGTTGTGGGGTGCGTGACGGTGCGTGTGTGGCGTCTGGAAGACAGCGTGATCATGGCACGTCTTGCACTTGGACCACATCTTCCAGCCAAGCTGTGTCAAAAACGTCAAAATATCATGTGGCGCAACACAGCTGATCGACGAAACAATAAAGCAAAGGCACGAAAATATGCAAAACGAGCACATTCTTCAGAAACGAGCAGATGTCTGATTCCAGAGCTATTTTGGTTCCTTTTCTGGTCCACCACTGGAATGTCTGGACTTCATTGAGTGCCCGTCCGTCTTTTGTTCACTTGTGCTGCTCTTCATGCAGGTGCTGTGTCACCGGTGCGCTCTATAGGTATACTTGATGATGCCATTGGTCCTGGCACATTGTGAGGCTGGACCGGGAAGCTCGAGATACGTAGATCGAGACAGCAAGTCTAGCTGAATCACCGGATTGGGGTGCTGCATGTGCAATATGCTGCACTGTGATATAGTTCAATCCATGCAACTCCCATATATCCAGGTTTGTTCAACAGCCATTTGGCTTAGAAGTTCAAGCGCTCAAAGGCCGTGAACATGAATGCCGACTCCTTTTGCTAGAAGCATGGAAGGGAAACTCCCAGCTTCGCCAAATAGCTGCTACTGGAGTGATGGCAATTGTAGGGAGGAAAGAAGGGAACAATGAAGTGACACGACGGGAAGTATGTCAAAATGCACATATCTTGGATATTCTTGGACCCTATTGTGAAACATCTTGGAATCTTGCCTCGTTCCGAACACTTTCTTTGCCATATTAGAATGCCACAAGCCAAGCGAGCTCAAAATAGTTTAAAATGCATGGAAATCCGACGTCCTGACCTCTCACGATCCCACTTCGACCGGCTTTGTCCGACCTCACTTTTCAGCAGCTACTCAGCTACTCGCTTGTTCTTGATCCACTGCAGACCTCGCGGTGCTCGTCTCTTCCAAGCCGTTCTGATCTTAGCAAATGGATCATGAGCTGTAATTAGCTCCTTTGGACATCCCCTCTGTGATAATGCGATGTAATGTGCACCACGCAGTACTTTCACACAATCCAAACAGCATGTCAGTTAGGGACAAGTGCTAGCTGCTAGCTTAGGTGACACGATCAAGGTTGAAGCATGGCTCCTTCAAGACCTTGTCTACTGCTTCTCCAGGGCCATCAAACGGGGCCGCTGGCCAAGGGAGGAGGAGTTCATCGCACTTATGAAGTCGGGTGATATTCCAGAGCCTTCTCTAGGTAGGAGGTTTTCTAGTCCTTTGGATTTGATTTGGCAACCGTTTCCTATAATGTAGCGCGCACTTCCCTAGCTGAACATCTTCACTACCCTTGTTACCCTCCCTGCAACAAGCTAGGCAGTTCCGCGGCTTTGGACATGCATCCTGCGGCTGATGAGCCTGCTGATGGGGATTGCCCATTCTCTTCGCCCCTGAGGAGAGGTGTTTGGGAGCTAATGGGAGCCCCTCCAACATCGTCCAATTAAAAAGACGTCCCCATCTCCCAAACTGGCGCTAATAGGATCCGGTGGACACCGCTTCCAGTGCAGGGCCAGCCTCGTGTCCACCAGCCATGCCATCCACAGTGCCTTGGCCAGTCGCATTCATCACGGTTGGGTCGGCGAATGGCTAGTGATCGACCCCAGGTTGGTGCCTTTCATTCTAATTCACAGGTGTGTGGAATTGAGTTTAAGGCGGTTTAAGGGATGTTTCTAATATTTCTAGCGGCAACTCAGTCAATAGATATGCCTGCCTCACGTGTGATGCGTATATGTTGAATTGTTGTGGCTGGCAGTCGGCTGACATATCATTAATTGTCTTTTCACTTGCTGCGCCGGAAGCAGTGTCGCGCATACACATTGAGGTGAGAAGGTGGTCCATGTGTGAATGTGATACAATTACTTTATATATGTGCCCGATCATGTTCTGCCTGGCACTGTTCGTAAGGTGGCAGTGGAGATGCGGAGGTTCTTCCTGGCAAACCAAGGGACCACCACATTGTGAAGGACAGAACAAAGGGCTTCAAGGTGTGAGAAGTGCTCGCAGGCTGGTCCAGTCAGCACCATTCGTGGGATGACTTGCAAGATCCCGCCACCAAGTCAGCCATCAACTTCCTCCTCCCCAGATGCTGCCAAATCGTCCTTGGTTGTTGGAGCAAGCGCTGCTGTGGTGGGAATGGAGGCTGCCTGAGAGCGGTGCGCGGTGCCCAATCACTTTCCATCCCTGATAGCGGTGATGGACTGGAGGCCGAAGCTCCCCTTGACTTCAGTGGGGGGCCTAGAGAAAGAGATGGCGGAACTTGAGGCTTTAGAGCAGGAACTACAAGCTCAAGAGCAAGCTTTAGAGGAAGAGGATAGGGATGCCTTGGAAATCCAAGAGCTTGACCGTCAGATCTTGGAGCTCGAGCTGGAGGATCAGCAGCTTCAGCATGCATCAAACTTATCTGCAGCCATGGCAAATGGTGTGCGCATTCCAGGGACTATCGATGGCCAGGATTGTCGCAAGCAGAACTTCGCCAGCCCGAAAGCTTGCAGATCATCATGATGATGATTATAAGATCTTGCCCTTGGCGCCAGAGGTCAAGAAGCTCTATGAAAAGTACTGGTCGCGTTTTGTGGCAACGCCACAAAACCATGGGCGTTCAGTCAAGCCTTGCATCTTGCTTCGCACATGTGCATGCGTCCAAAAATTCAAAAAGCATGTGAAGGGATATAGTTAAAGGGATGTAAAGGGCAAACAGTTTTGGCCATGGCTTCTGCCGTTTTTTTTTAAATAAACAACGTGGAGACGCGCCCCATTGTGGCTGAAGGACATGAACCTGATTGCGTGGGAAATGAGGCGGCTGGGTGGCTGCACCCTTTCTGCACGTGGGGGTTTGAGTGAAGCAACATTCATGCATACCAATTGCATGACTTCCAGTCATAACTATACCCTTCAGGTGTGCAGTGTTGATGCATTGAGGCTAGTCGTATGGGTGGTTTTTCATTGGGTGGTTCTCCATATGCCAGTGGACAGTCTAGGGCATTTTGGCCCCTGACTGCAGTTCTTGGGGCATACCCTCAAGATGTACTTCACTGAGAAACTTTGTCAACGTTGCTGGTAACGTCTTTCTTCCTTGGGTGCAGGGCGCAAACCAAATGGTCTCACGGAACCTTGGCATGGCGTACAGTGAACTTAAAGATTGATAGATCTATATAGCCCTCATGGAGGGCCAGCCAAAACTCAACTGTCATGAGCCCATGTTCAGGGTTACCATTTTGAGGCTAACCTTGGTGATTCTACATATTCTACTCATGTTATCCCGCAATCTTTGCTGCATAGTGGAGCAGCCCCGCGATTCACTACTCTACCGTCACAAACGATTTGAGTGGTGTGCAACCATGTTTCTTTCGCGCCTAGGCCAATTAATACAATATGCAACATTGGTAATATGCACAATGCAAATATCCATGGTATATGATGCGCTATATATACACATACCGCTTTGCTTGGCCAAGGTGCACCAATGCCGCTTCTTCGCGATGCAGCATGGTGCAGGAACTTTGACCACAGTGGTCTACAGTAACATGAAGGAAGTCTCAAAGCTACGCCGTGGACGACTAATGAAGAAAGAACAGAAACATCGAACGACATCCAAGACTACCAGAAACTAGGCTAAAGCTAGCCATGCATGCGGCTAGCATGTGGTGTGCATGCATGTGTCAACAAACGGCCACGTGTCCCACGCCCGAGCTATCCCGAGCCCACACTGAGGGAAGTACATTGACAGCAAAGGCCGCCCGCGATTTGTGGACACTGCTGGGCTCGGCGCCTCCCAGAGTCCAAGCTCATGAATTGATGATCGATACAATACCTATAGCTAGGTATATACAAACAAAGGTGGTGGGGAATGGTGGGGACCTTCAACTCGATCCAGTGTGTCCCCAGGGTATACGCCCCGCTGATCAGGACTTACACCAGCCATCGTTTGGCCGCAGCATCTTGGATGTCTACACCAGCCACTTGGGCCCGCAGTGTGCAGAGCCCGCAGTGTTCAAACCGCAAGTGGAGTTCGTTGGGACCTTCGATGACATTGATGTGCTCAATGCCATTCCCATGGGCGATATTTGGGATGATGCTTCTTTGTTGGGCCCCCTGAAGTACCTGATGACCTCTTCAAAAGTTAGGTGGGGTGGTGATGCGAGTATATGTGGGTAATGGTTTCGTTCATGTATGCATGTGTTAAGATGCACCGGCAGGATCCCTGTTCCTTGGCGGGAAACAATGGAACAATTCTTGGACTTAGACAGACTATGAATCTGAGGCGGACTTATATTTGGGTATTTAAGAGTCTTGTGCATCTTCAAGTTGAACCCCTCATATGTCTATAAATGCAACCCTGGAAGGTCTTGGGCGATCCAAACCTGCGATCAGAGGTTCTGACTGCATTGGGACAGTGTCCTTAGCCTCTGGACTGCCTGTGGCAGCATGTTTAAAGCTCATACAATGTACCTAACGGTCTCCTGATTGAGCTTTTTGCTGCTCTTTGTAAGTTTAATGCTTTTGGGGTGAAAATTGAGTGCGCAACAACGGCGCAATCTGAAAAAGTGTTCATTTTTTAGATTTGCAGGATCGGCGTTCGATGATCACAATAGGTACGTTTTGCAGGGTTTCAAAGGAAATTTCAATAGTTTGCCACGTGTATGACCCCTGCTATAGCACATTGTGGCTAATTTGACTAGGCCAGCTATCGTATGGCATCCCGAGCTTCTTCCAGCACTCTCGTATCAGGCATGACTGCCGTTCAGTTTGGCGATGGAGCCCCGTTGAATCGCAAAGGGAATTGGAGGAACAGATTCGCGCAACTCGCTTATATATATATGTCGTTTATTCCATGTGATGTCGAATATACATATACAGTATCGGTATGATGCTAAGGCAAAGAAAGAACGGGTTGAAGCTTTACGTCGTAAGCTGTCCAACCAACCCTCGCTGACAACACC